GTATGCCTCCTGGGATGAGGTATACTTGGGTGGTCGACAAATACCTTTGATGTTGACACCCGCGCGTCCAGACTATTGCGCTGAGCCATGTAAATTTAAATGAAGCGGCGATTATTTAAATCGCCGCTTCATTTTCCTATGTCTGGTAGCCTAATCTACATGCCTCTGGCGACAGAGGCATGTAGTCTAGACGTACCCTTAATGTTATCTGCCAGTGGCTATTAGGAGTCACGACCCAATTCTCAAACTATTTACTCATAACCTAAACTCATGAACTTTCTAATGTAATTTTGGAACTACTCCTGTTCCTACCATAGTCAGTGGAAGCTTTGCTATTGAAAATGGGAGACTGGCATCTTACCAGTATTGCTAAATAGAGAAGCAATTAGGACAGTAAGGGCACATTTAAACTACATTTCTCTTCCGAAAGATTTACATAATTGCATGAGAGCACTTTTTTGAAAAAGTTTTTTGAAAAAGAAACCTCAGTCTAGACGGGGTTCTTTAAAAAAAAAAAAAAAAAAAAAAAAACACCCTTTTTCAACAGATCTTGTATTCCTCAAAAAATGAGATCTAGCAGCGATGTTTATGCTAACAAAGTACAAGATATTTAAATCCCTGCTTCATTAGCAATTTCGACATGCCTAATCTACATCTCTCTGTTGGCATAGCCTAAGAGTGCAACTTTCAACAGGCATTCCCCATGAGTGACAGAAAGCCCTTTTAAGTACCTGAAAACTGAGGTCTTCTCTTTTCCAGACTGAACAATACCAATTCTAATACCAATTATTTCAATCTTCCCTCATAAATCATGTTTTCTACACCTTGATTTTTTTTTGGCGCTCTTCTCAGGACTCTAATTTGTCCACATCTTTCCTGAAACATGGCACCCAAAACTGGACACAGTACTCCATCTGAGGAGTAATCAGTGTGGGGTAGAGTGGAACAATTACTTTTTGTGGCTTGCTTACTATACTGCTAATACATCCCAGAATGATGTTTACTTTTTTTCCCCCAAAAAAGTAAACTGACTCATTTAGCTCGTGATCCATTATGACTGCTTGGTCCGTTTCCATAGTACTCTTTCCTAGGCAGTCATTTTCCATTTTATATGTATAAAATAGATTACTCCACTTAGGAATACTTTTTGTCTTTATTGAATTTCATCCTATTTACTTCAGACTATTTCTCCAAATAATTTTGAATTTTCATCCTACCCTCCAAAAAAACTTGCAACCCCTCCCAGCATGGTATCATCCACAAACTTTATAAGTGTGCTAACTATGCCATTATCTAAGTCATTGATGAAAATACTGAACAGAACCAGAACCAATACCTGCAAAACCCTACTCGTTATACCCTCCCAGCATGATTACTACTGAACCACTGATTACTCTGACAACGGTTATCCAATCAATTATGCATTCACCTTATAGTAGCTCTACCTAGACTGCATTTCTCTAGTTTGTGAATGAGAAGGTCACGTGAGATTGTAACAAAAGCCTTACTCAAGTCTAGATATACTATATCTACTGCTTCTCCCTTCTCTACAAGGTTTATCATCCCATCAAAGAAGACTATCAGGGTTGGTTTGACATGATTTGTTCTTGAGAAGTCCATGCTATTACCTATCACCTTATTATCTTTATATGTTTGCACATTGATTCCTTAATTATTTGCTTCATTATCTTTCCTAGGACAGAAGTTAAGGTGACTGGTCTGTAATTCCCTGGGTTGTCCCTTTCCCCCTTTTTATAGATGGGCACTACATTTGCCCTACTGCAGTCTTCTGGAATCTCTCTTTGTATCCATGCTTTTCAAAGATAATATCTAATGACTTTGATATCACTCAGCTCATTGAGTGTTCTAAGATGCATTTAATCAGGCCCTGGGGACTTTACAACATTTACATTGTCTAAGTAATTTTAACTGTTCCCGATTTTAGCTCCTGAACCTACCCCATTTTCCACCAGCATTCACTACAGTAGGGGACCAATTGCCACCAACCTCCTTGGTAAAAGCCGAAATAAAGAAGCCATCAAGCATCTATGCTATTCGCACATTTTTGTTATTGTTTTTCTGTCTTCCTTGAGCAATGGGCCTACCCCGTCCTTGGTCATCTTCTTGCTTCTAATATATTTGTAGAATGTTTTCTTGTTACCCTTTGTATCTCTAGCTAGCTTGAATCCTTTTATGCCTTGGCCCAATTTTGCTCTTACATACTTGTGTTGTTTATATTCATCCTTTATACTTTGACCTAGTTTCTACTTTTTGTAGGACTATTTTTAGATCATTCAAGAGCTCTTGGTTAAACTAGGACGGACTCTTACCATCCTTCCCATCTTTTCTACACAGTGGAATAGAGCAGTAAGGCCATTTAATCTTATCAAGAATTAGGGATGTAAAATCCCATTTAATTATTTACTGGTTAACTGATTAAAGGGGGATGAGCAGGGGGAGCCACTTCAGCTCCCACCAGTTAATCTTAAACCACTAAGCCTCACATGTTAAGGATGAGGTTAACCGGTTAAACCTTCATGTCGTTACTAGGAATATAGAATTACAAGCTTAGAGACATAAGCATCTTCATTCAGTGAGACAAAAGCATTTTTAATCAACAGGCCAGTAACAAATGCATGAGAAACTGACTAGAGGAAGTAGTACTTTTCTGGAAACTTGTCTGATATTTACTACTTCTGAGTCCTGGAGACGTGTGAAATCAAGCCCCCATTTTTTTCAGCTCACTTATAAAGCATGCTATTAATGGAAATATGTTACACTACTGTAAACTTTTCCCCCTTTCCCTTTTTTGTATAAGGTAGAGAGGTGTGCATTTTGATGCTGCCACTATGCTTTCAGTCCTCTAGAGTACTCTTCTTGAAGGTCAAGAAACCTATTAATCCCAATTTCTTCCTCTCTCCTAAAGCTAGTCAAAAAGCAGTAGAAAGCTTTGTGCTCCAGCATCTTCACATGTACATAATTAGGAGTTAACACAATGGAAAAGCTATTCAGATATTTTAAATTACTGTTATTTACAAAATCTAGAACTCTACATGAATCTTTCAGGCTTTTTAAAAATGTTACCATACTTAAAATATTTGCGAGTACTCTTCTTGAATGTCAAGCAGAAAAAAATGTTACCATACTTAAAATATTTGCAGTCCATTTTTCCGATAGAAAATCTCTTACTTTTCAAAGTCACTTTGGAATGAGAGCTAGATATTAAAGGCTTACCGTCAGATGGTATTGGATTAGCAGTTCCAAGGGGTGGTACCTAATAAATAAGAAGTGCAATATGGGTTTGTGATTATGGAGTGTATTCAGGTACTTTTAAGTTTTGGACACTACTACACTTCTAGGTATTCACAAAGCCCTCTCTTTACTAAACTAAATTTTAAATCCAAGCTATATAAATATGGAGACACTCATACTGGAAAAATATAGGGATATATCTACACTATGGAGAAGATGGACCCTCCGGAGGTTGATCTTCTAGTGTTTGATTTAGCACATCTAGCGTAGACCCCCTAAATCAAATGCAGAGGGCAGCCCCCACCTGTGTCCTGTACTCCTCATTATGCTAGGAGTAAGGGAAGCCAATGGGAGTATGTGCTCCCATCAGCCTTCCACAGTAGACACTGCAGTGGCTTGGCTTAAAGTGAGCTGAATCCAGCTACACATTTTGCATAACTGGATTGTGTACTAAGCCGAACTGCTTGGTCTAGTGTGGACCAGACTAGGTGGTGATGAACAGAACTACAAATAGTCAGCTTTCTGTAAATCAGCATAGCTTCTAGATAACATGGAAGTAACCAAACCAGCTATTTTTTGTTAGCATTCTGCACTATGCGTATCTACCTTAACAAAGGCAAGGAAATAATATGCTATTTTTTCCTGCAGTCAGTGCTATTTTATGTCTGTGGGGGAGCCTGGACTACCCTGCCTTGGCAATAAATGGTGATGTCTGCCTTGTCCAAAGTGCAGCTTTCTGGCCTGTTTCAAGTCTGGTGCGTCAAAGCACGCAGGCAGGGACCAAGAGACAGGAATTGTTTTGCATAACAACGCAGACTAAGCATAGTATGCGAGACCACATCAAGAACACAGGACAAGCAGCCTTGTACTGGTACTTGTTTCTGATAAGCAAAAAGTACAGATGCAGCCATGAAACTGTCAACTGTGTACATAGCAGTGACATCCTGAGTAGCAGGATGTACCCCAAACAGGAGCATTGGGCATTTTACATATCCTACACAATACGTAATCAATTGGTAAATATTTTTAGAACGACCAAGTCTTGCTTTGCTATAAATTGGGCTTAGTAAGAACAATCGATGGAAGGAATGGGCAGGATTGACCCACACGTCCTGCTTGATATAACTAGAAGTAATTAAGCCCTTCACACTGATGACCCAGTGATTGGCATTCCATTGCGTGGGAAGAAAATGGAACCATGAACTTCTGCCTGGCACTGTAGGTAGCATACAGGTGAAGTGTAAGTGAATTAGGCTTTATTATTGTATATAGTAGATCTTTTAGTAAAGTAGATCTTTTGCATTGCTTTGCGCTGTATTAATTGCTTTAGAATGTATAGTATTTAAGGTTTAAATTGTATAGTAATTGTTCTTAAGGCTTGTAACTGTATTAACTACTTAAAGCTTGCAATAAATAGGAAAGTGGTTAAGTAGCCCTGGTGTGTACTGGTTTCCCTGGATCCAAAATAAATCGAACCACACAACAAAATGTCCTGGTACTGAATTCTAAAAAACAAGAGCAAAGGACATTTTCCTAGGAATATTTACTTTCCTAACGATAAGATGGAGAAGTGTTATGCCTGGTGACAACTCCATTAGGTTGTGGACTTGAAGTTTCTATCTACAGAATATTAGCATGCAATTCTGACATGTACAATATGACACTTTCAAAAACCTGGATAAGTTAAACAGGTTTATATCTTCATCTATTTTTAAACAGCCTTTCCCTTTGGTCAGAATTATTTTAACACACTGCAATGATTTTTTCATTACTTATCTAGTTTCACTTTTTAGCATCAATTCTATTAGATGTTAGACATTACCACTTGACAGGAAATATTCAAGGAATCAGAGATGAGTCCTTTAGAAGTCATTCTGTCACAATCAGGCATTCTGATTGTGACAGGGATCTAAACTTTAAAAACTGAAGTTCACATGATGTCTTAGCTACCAATTTTTTAAAAAGTCATTAAAAATTTTAAGCTTCAAGTCATTAGTGCGAGTTAATGATACAAAAACAAGTACAGGCAGTCCCCAGGTTACATGGATCCGACTTACCCCGTTTGTAAGTAGGGATCCAATGTGAGGCAACCTCGCACTAGCTGCTTCCCCCCAGCAGACCAGGGAGACGCGAAGCTAGCGATCCCCCCCCCCCAAGCAGACCAGGGAGACGAGGAGCGGCTTTTATCAGCAGACACCTCAGCTTGAGAATAAAGGCCTGAGGGAAGTGAGGTGTGGGAGAATAAAACTGAGCTCTGGAGAAATGTTTGGCTAGAGTTTCCCCTACAATATGTACCAGTTCCGACTTACATACAAATTCAACTTAAGAACAAACCTACAGTCCCTATCTTGTATGTAACCCGGGGACTGCCTGTACATTGGTTCAGTTAAAACAGTGTTTCAAAGGAGCTCATTCCCAAATGAAAGCTGGGCAAGAAGGAATTGAAAAAAAATGTTTGAGTTTCTGTACACTCGTGAACCTCTGCATCCTCAAGTTCATGCTTAGTTGGCCATTCAGAATGATTTTAGCCAGTGGAAAAGGGTTTTTTTCAGTGCACCCTCTCCCTCCCCTTGTCTTCTCTTTAAGATTACCTAAACCAGGTATTATTAAAAAAATAAAAGACAGCTAAATCTATTTGTACTTACTGCTTCCACAATAGCTTTAGCAGATTCTTGACTAATACAAAGTGGGCTGTCTGACACAGTTGTATTTGCACTAAAAAAGAAAGGTTAAGTTATGAGAGCCAAGTTCTTCCTTCCAAGAGTATCAAATAACAGCATTAATAGTGTTAAGAAGCCATTTTTAAAAAAATGACAGGACTATGCAGCACTTAGTCTTTAGTTTCAGCAAGACCAGATTAACATGGCTACATCTCTATTACTATTTTAAAAAAACAGGCTGAATTAGGGATGTTAAGGACTAGTCGACTAATTGCTTTTCCTCCCGCCCCCTTGCTGCCTCCATCAGATAGAGGTAGAAAGAGGGAGGTACGTCATAGTGGCAGCGCTGCACAAAGCCCAGGATCAGCTGGGGAGTCTCCAGCTGACCTCGGGCTTGGTGTGGTGTGCCAGCTTTTAAATGTACAAGACTCCCCAGTAGGGGCCCTTGTGCATTTCAAAGCAGAAGCGCCCACGTGGAGCCCGGAGTCAGTGAGACATCCCACTGGCAGTGGGCCCCACGCAGCGTTCCAATTCTGAACTACACAAAATTCCATGCTGGGGTTCTTGTGTATTTCAAAGGCAGAACACGGAGGTGCCTATCGACTAGTCAAAGGAAATTCCATTAACTACTTGACTAGTAAGTTAATCACTTGTTAACATCCCTAGGTGGAATCCTCAGTTTTTGAATAAGTTACAAAATAAAGTAGCTAGCACTAGAACAACAAAGACCTCTACTTTTTATTCCCATTTGCTTAGAATTTAACAAAGCAGCACTGCAACAGAAGAGTTGTAAACCTACCAATTGATTTCTCCTCCATCAGTTTTTTCAGATACTAGCGCTGTCCAGTGTTCATGAGTGGTTTTGATTACCTTAATTGCAAAATCCTAAAATTTAAAAGAATAAATTAATATTACAAGCAAATACTCTAATCATCCCCCATTCTATCAATTAGATAGGAATCAACAGAGCCTAGTGTTTACAGGTAGATATTACAGAAGGGCAAATTTTCTTCCCTTCTATTACTTGCCTTTACAGTAGCAGCTTGAGCTGATAAAAGAGATTAGAGTCCCTTTGTGTTGGGCATTTTACAGATTCCTAGTAAGACACAATGCTTGGCCTAAACACCTTAATGGACAAAATGGTGTATTATAAAATGTCTTCTACTTTTATTCCCAACGTGACATCGGAAGTTTGTGGCACACAGAGGAAATGAACTCTGATCTCCCAAATCTCAGTCCAGTACCTTTACCATAAGACCATTTTACCTCTCACTTGGGCTATGTCTACACAGCAACATTATTTCAGAGTAACTAGTGTTATTCCAAAATAACGTAGTCCATGTCTATATTACAAGCAATTATTTCGACAATGTCAAAATAATGTCAAGCTGGAGGACTTCTTACTCTGACTCCTGAACCCTCATTGCACAAGGTGCAAGGGAAGTTGGAGGAAGAGTGCTCTTGGACTTCCTGCTGTACAGACAACGCCAAAAGCCAAAAGAAGCTATTCTGACTTCAGCTACGCAGTTCACATAGTTCAAGTTGCATAGCTTATTTTGGCTTTAGCCCTGCTGGGTAGACGTGCCCTAACAGAACTTCTATATTAGTGAAAGAGACGACTTTTTTCTAACATGCATTGGCTTATACTTACTACTCTCTATCCCTAGTTTAATAAAACTTTTAGATACAAACCAGTACAACATCTGAAAGAATGGGTGGGATAAGGGGAGAGGGGGAGAGCAATATCTATGTAAAGTAACCATGATCCTGGTCAGTTTCTGGAAATAATGCTAACATTTCCTGAATATTTAGAGGAAGGAGATATTTCTAAATAATTTTTAAACAAAGATGGTATAAAAGAAAAAAAGTGGTAAACATTTAAATTCAAAACATTTGTAGACTTTACAATGTGTAACCCGAAGCTTTTCAAACATATGATCCAGAAAGTGAAGATAGTAATGTAATAGTTATAGTCAATGCCAAGTGAAATGCTGGTTGAACATGATTAATACAAAACCAAAACAAAAACAAACTAATATTCTCATTTCACTATTTAGAAATAGTGAACATGATTAATGTAAAACCAAAACAAAAACAAATATTCTCATTTCACTATTTAGAAATAATTGAAGAGAGGGATGCTATCAAAACAAAACCCTTAGCCTGATTTCATCAGGGTGAATTTCAGAATGTATGTACAACCAAGCTACAGTAATTAAGACAACATAAGTCAGTTCCTTTATTATAGCAAATTACGACAACACATGTTTGAAGGAGAAGGGAGTATACACAAGCTCACCACCCAGTCTTCATGGACTGCCTGTGTGTTTCTGTCACCTGATAGGAGGCTTCAAAAGGCCAAAACTAAGGGGGTGGGAGAAGGAAAAGGAAGAGGAGATACGGATAAAGAGGATAAAGGGAAGCTCCCATCATGCCTCCTTTGTTGTGGCTAAACACCACATGCCAAAAGAAGAGCATGAAAGCTACCATGCTAGCTACCATACTGGCTCATTAACAGGAGTGTTATGAGCAAGACACGAGAAGTCATCGTTCTACTCTACTCTGCACTCATTAGGCCTCAAGTGGAGTAGTGTGTCCATTTCTGGACACCACATTTAAAAAACGATGGAGGAATTGAAGAAGGTCCAGAGAAGAGCAACAAAAATGATTAAAGGTCTAGAGAACATGTCCTATGAGGAAAGGCTGAAAGAATTGGGCTTGTTTAGTTTAGGAAAGAGAAGATTGAGGGGGACATGATAGTAGTTTTCAAGTATCCAAAAGGGTGTTACAAGGAGGAGGGAGAAAATGTTTTGTCTGTGACCTCTGAGAATAGGACAAGCAGCTTAAATTGCAGCAAGGGAGGTTTAGGTTATACATTGGGAAAAACTTCCTGTCATGGTGGTTAAACACTGGAATAAATTGTTGAGGAAAGTTGTGGAGTCTCCATCACTGGAGATATTTAAGAACAAGTTGGATAGACATCTATCAGGGATGACCTAGACAGTGGTTGGTTCTGTCATGAGGGCAGGGGATTGGAGTCAATGATCTTTCAAGGTCCCTTCCAGTTCTACTATTCTATGTTTCTATGTCAGAAGATCCTGTATGTTGGAGTGATCTTCCTGTGGAGGGATATTCATATTTTGTGTGGTTTTTCAACAACTAGGAGTATTCAACAGCTGCATTGCACTAAGGATGTAATCCTTAAATGTTTCTAACAACAAGCAAAATGAGGATAAAAGGAAAGGTCCTCTTATGGACTGAAAACCGGTTAAAGAGATAGTAAATAAATGGTAGGAATAAATGGCCAGTTTTCAGAATGGAGAGAGGTAATGAGTGGTGTCGGACAGAGTCCATAGTGGGACTAATCCTAGTCAACATACATTAATGATCTGGAGAAAAGGGTAAACAGTGAGGTAGCAAAATCTGCAAGTGATAGTTAAGTACAAAGCAGACTGCAAAGAGCTTCAAAAGGATCTTACAAAACTAGGTGACTGGGCAACAAAATGGCAGATGAATTTTAATGTTGGTAAATGCAAAGTAACGCATATTGGGAAACGTTATCCCAACTATTAGTCCCTATCATTTTACACTAAATTAGCTGTTACCACTCAAAAGAAATCTTAGAATCATTGTGGCTAGTTCTCTGAAAACATCCACTAAATGTGCAGCAGCAGTCAGAACACAACAGAATGTTGGGAATAATTTTAAAAAAAGGATACAGCATTAAGAGTATATCTTATTGCATATATACATCTGGCAGATGTGGTTGCCTCACCTCATCTCAAAAACGTATCCTGGCATTGGAAAAAGTTCAAAAAGGGCAACAAAAGCAATTGGAATATACAATAGCTGCCACAGACTGACTTTTCAGCTTAGAAATGAGAAGAAGGGGGGAGAGGGGATATGACAAAGATCTATAAAATCACGACTGGCATGGAGAAAATAAATAAGGGAAAAAGTTATTTACTTACTCCCTCAACACGAGGAAGTATTTCTTCACAAAATGCAGTCAGTCTGTGGAACACTTTGCCACAGGATGCTGTGAAGACCAGGACTTAAACAGGGTTCAAAAAAGAACTGGATAAATTCATGGAGTATACGTCTACCAGTGGTTATTAGCCAGAATGGTCTAGCCCTAGCCTCTGTTAGCAGCTAGGAATGGGCAACAGGGGATGGATCACTTGGTGATTACCTGTTCTGTTTGTTCCCTCTGGGGCACCTGGTGTTGGCCACTGTCAGAAGACAGGATACTGTGCTAGACAGACCTTTGGTCTGACCCAGTATGGCTGTTCTAATGTAAAGACCGGTTTGGGGAGAGTTACAAATGGAATGAATTAGTGATTTATATTAGAATAGATGAAAAAAATAGCCTAAGTCATTTGACTAAGTTTTAAGAGAAAGTTCAGTTTTGCAGGTACACTAGCAATAGGAGCCTCTCTCAATATACAGACTACTATTCCTTAACTAATGTGCTTTTCGGACAATCAGATTGTATATCTAAAAAAAAAGCTAACTAGAAGACTTACCTGGCTTCTCTCTGGAGCTGATACAAGGTGGCAGATATAAGGTGGCAGAAGTGGGGGCAGAGGAAGGAGGAGGGAAGACTGTCACATAGTGGGCAGCTGCTCCTTGGGGTCAGTGGGGGCATGCTGCCTGAGACCATGATGCATGCTGCTTGGGGCTGTGACACATGTTGCCCCTTGTGGTCATTCCTAAGTGTAACGGTCCCTGCTATCACATCCTTCCCTTTCCATTTGATGCGAAACAATCGTATTCCACACATATCTCATTGTCCTCGCACAACCAAACTAAGACGAAACTGCATACCAAATTTGGTGGTCCTAGTTATTACCACTTAGCAGAAATTCTTGAACAAATGGATTCAAGACACAGATGCACAGTCTCAAATATATAGTAGATGAAGAGGCGGTTACCTACCTTGTCTTTAAATTCTCCATTAAATGCAAACTGGTTTTCTGGCTTCCCATCAGGTACCTTGTACTTTCTAAACCAGTCCACTGTAGCTTCTAGGTAGCCAGGTTTCATCTTTCTGACATCATCAATATCTAACATCAGGGGAAAAAACCTCTTCACTGTCAATGCAAATACGTGCAGTCTCAAACTAGTCTCAATTCTAGTGCAATTCTCTTATCCAGACCACCTTTGAGTCTAGCACTACCGAGGAAGATGAGCATTATGACTGTTGGCTACAGCAGAATATCTGCAATATCTCCTCAACAGCTAATGCCTAGCTCTCATCAGAAGTCATTTGTTAGGGACAAGTTTTGTTATACTACTGCTTTAGCGTAAGATTGACTTACAGGTTTCCCAACCTATGGGTCAGACCCAAATATGGGTCACCATTACATTTCAAAAGGGCTGCCAAGTGTCTCCCCCGGTGCATTCACACATTTGAAAAAGTCCCCTTGCTGGAGGCTCTGCAACTGGCTTAGTCTTAAGGAGCCATTCACCTGAAGTGGTACTCAACTTAATTGTGATAGATATGCAGCTCTGTTAGGGTACGTCTAGACTACATGCCTCTGGCGACAGAGGCATGTAGATTAGGCTACCCGACAGAGTAAAATGAAGCGGCGATTTAAATAATCGCCGCTTCATTTAAATTTACATGGCTGCCGCGTTGAGCCGTCACAACCATATATACCAAAGGATACAATTAAAAAAATGAACACATATGAAAAGGACAAATCAAATTTCAGAACAGAAGGGGTGGTGCGGGGAAAGGTAAATGTCTGTGAGCTAATGATATTAGAGGTGATAATTGGGGAAGCTATCTTTGTAATGGGTAAGATAATTGATGTCTGTTATTTTACAAAGATAATTTATGGGTAACTTTTAACAGGTCTGATTAGCCCATCTTATTTTACTGGACTCTTAATATTCAGGGTAAAAGGGACAGAAGGATCTTTGATCTTTAGTCAGGAGAACTTAGATGTGTTTTCTTTCAGACATCACATGTTCACTTAGCTGTATGGATCCAATGAAGGAGCTGTTACATGGAGGTGAAAATTGTGTCTTGTGCCAGTAAAATCTTGAGTGCTATGTAGGCAATTCACCCTCTATGGAATTTCCACTATCATCTTTTCTCAGGGGTTTGGCTGCACAAGGGCAACCAGCTCCCACTGGCAGTTTCCATGTGGCCTTTGCCAACAGAAAGCATAAAGTATGATGAAACAAGGTATCCTTCTACTGCCCAGGCCAGCATCACTTGTAGGAATATGTAGATTCCTTGGCACAGGAAGCTAGACCAGAGTGGGAAACAGGGCTTGCTCTAGGTTTTTTGCTGCCCCAAGCAAAAAAATTTTTGGCTGCCCCCTTCCCCGCCTTTTTGTTGGCTTTTACACATTTGCACTTCGCAAGTTTTTTTGTTTTGTTTTGGTGATAGAGACAAGATTTCCAGCTCACACAAAGGTCTTTTTCAAGAGTGGGAAATGTACCTTAAATCTCTACTTTATTGTTCTTATAGAAATAGGCTACTTTTTAATTGTGGTTTGAATGCATGGAAAACTATTAACACAAATAGTTTATATTTCCTTAACTAAGTACCAAAAATAGAAGGGAGAACTTGTGCCATATCTAAAACTCAAGTATTTTATGGCTGTACTTAATCAATCTTCAAACCAATTACAATTGGCTAACAAATACCACTCTGTTTAAACATACTTGTCAACCAATTATGATAACTATAGCACATAAGACATCTAAACTACATCAATAATAGTTGTACTGTTAAACTAGATTGTTTTGGAATGCAGTGACTCCTTATGTGGCTCTAACACATCTATGTTATCAGATAAATTGAGATCAGTGGGTGTGCATGTGCACATTATTTTCATGTGTCCATCTTGTTAGAAGCCATTATATATTCAAGTTTATGAGGTGTTAGAGGGAGTGGAGAGTTGTATGTGCTCAGTACAATTATATATGGAATGAAGCTTGCCTTAGAGACCTCAAACACAAAAGTTTACCCAGATCAACGAAGTTTAATTCTTTAAAGAAATATCTATGAAACAGCATGTGTGTTTCTTTGAAGAGTACAGAACAGTTAATATTCTCTCTCTGTGTGCTGGATCCTTGTTTGGTTCTACATCTACTACAAACACGAACAAGAAAAATATACTAGGAACAGACTTCAAAGGATCCATGGGGCTGAGGCTGTCGGGGGCTGGAGCCTGGGGGGAGAGGCCAGGGTCTGGGCCAGTCGGCTGAGTGTTTGTAGGTTTGCCAGGTGTCCAGTATTTTCTGATTTTTTTTTTTTTTTTTTTTTAAGACCAGATATTCTTTGTCTGCAGATAAAGTTTTCACTGGGGTAGTAAGGGAAAGGTCGATCTGCAGAATCTAATTAAGACTGCTTTGTTAATCCACCATTAGGAAGCCACATGGTAAGCACGCAAAGGAGATGGTGATTTATCTAGAAAATCAGCAACTCCAAGCAAGACGCTCTCCTCAGGGATGTAGAAACCGGATTAGGGCCTTCTGCAGAAGCCAAGTCAGCAGCCAGACATGGCAGACAGCAGGTAACTCACTACAGAAGAGAGTTTAATATAACCAGGACACTGAATGAAAGAAGTTGTGTTTTTTTAACTAGGCATGTTAGCCACTACGCATTTCATTTAGAAAACCCAAGCAAGGTTTAGGCACGAGGGAACAAACTACAATCACAAGTTTGTTTTAGCGCCACAGCAGGAGCACAAACAAGTAGGGGTGTCCAGCAGGCTCCGGGGCGCATTGGGCCACAGGCCGCGGCCCTTTAAATCAGCAGGGCAGGGCTAGGCATTGCTGGGGGTGGGGAGGAGCAGGACAGAGAGGAGATGGGGCGGCCAGCAGGCTCTGGGGTGCATTGGGCCATGGCCCTTTAAATCAGCGGTGCAGGGAAGGGCGGGGCTAGGCATTGACAGTGGAGAGGAGGAGCAGGAGAGGAGACAGGGGCAGCCAGCAGGCTCCGGGGAGCATTAGTGCTGCCAGCTGGCTGCGTGCAGCCACAGCGTTTCTCGGCATTTCCCAGCCACAGCCCTTTAAATCAGTGGGGCGGGGCTAGGCATTGCCAGGGGCGGCACCAGCTGCTTACCTGAAATGCTGCCCCAGGCAAAGAGCCCCTGATTTGCTGGTGCCTAGAGCTGGCTCTGCTGGGAAAGGGAGTTGTGTTCATCTTGCTCAAAGACCTGTGCAGAAACAGGCTAAAATCTAGCTCTACAGATTCCAGATTTTTTCAGTATGAAGGAACGTTTTGTTCAAGGTCCTCATTTAGGAAATAAAGAGCTAAAACACCTTCCTTCTGTGCTACTTACTGTTATAGTTGGCTGCTTCAGAGTCTTCAATATTGATTGCAATTAATTTCCAGTCTGTCTCCCCCTCATCAATCAGTGCCAGTGTGCCCAGAACTTTCACTTTAATTACTTCTCCTCTTGAGCATATCTAATTAAATAAACGTAAATATTTTTACAAATGTATTACGGGGTGTGGAACAGATAACAAATTCAGTAAAAACATTCAAAACATGTTCAGTACAGAGGATCAATATAAGAGACTGTCTAAATCAACACCACTGGTGAACCATTAACTTGAACCTTGGTCTGAATTATATGAATTCGGACAATTAAGATTCATAACATTTCAGCATCAGGAGAAGCCAAGTTCATAATAAAAGATCCAGAAATATGAGTAGGTCATCTCTGAAAATCAGTTAATGTAACAAAAATAATCATCCTATGGAAGATAGCACATTACCTTGCTTCCAATTTCACACACATCAACTGGATCATTATCTCCACAGTAGCCAGTATTTTCATCTTTATGTCCTGGATATTCCCATGTCTACAATAATAGAAAAAGACTTTTGCCACAAGAGAATCCCAGAGATTCAGAATTTGTCAATGAATGGCTTTGAGTTTTTCACGCAGGCAGCAATGGTCTAGTGAAGAAGCTTAATTAAGATGTAACATTTCTCTGTTTAGTAGGAAGAATGTCAGTTTTGACTGCTGGTTAGGAAGTTTCCACGTGTTTTTATATTTATTAACCCTATCAATTTTAAGTTAGCCTGTTTACTTTGCCCATGGATCTGGGACTTCTATATCAGCAAAAGCTGCATCCTCGCTTCCTCCAACTATACTTTTGAACTACTTCCCATTATTAGCACTGACCTGACTTCCTAGGTCAAAGGGAAGAATACAGAAAGCTAGTAAGGTAATTAAAAGACAAATAAGGGCAGTCTTAAGATAGCCCTTTTACAATAAGGAACTTGTACTGGCATTATTTACACCTTTATGTTGGCAGGCAGTCAAACCTGTCCATCCACTCCCATTTCTTCAGTGCTGGAAAAAGTTGTTTGAGCAGTGAGAACAGTATATGGGCAAAGTTCAGAGAAGTATGAAAGAGATCCATTCTGTATAAATTGCCATGCAGTGTGTTTTGTTAACTATAACATTAACTAAAAATCCAACTTGTATCTATGAGAGAGAGAAAGTCTATTTCTAGAAGAGACCAAAACTGTTTAAATTATAAATATGAAGCCCAGGGAAATGCAAGTTTTAATACTGCATCTTGTCGAAGGTAATTTTAATATAATTACCCCTAGGATTGTAAAACATGTTCAAGTTATGCACATATTACTCTTCATGATTTTTCATTGTCAATACATAACTTATCATGGAGTCCCTTCATTCAAATAACGAACAATCTCCTGACAGGTTGCTTTTAAGAATTGTCTGGGAATTGAAAGCAGCAGGGATCCGGGATTTACACATGGGTGTAGAATCACTATCAGAGTATTTACCAATTGCCGGCCCTAGATCAACTTACAACTAATTTCTGAAGACTGATGTTTAATCGGACTGATAGGTGGTGGTGAGGTCATTGTAGTACAACTGACATATTACTAGTGTAACACTAATGTAGAATAAAATTGGAATTTTGCTACTAGTTTATCCTTTTGTTAGCTTGTTTACAACATGACTTGCATTCTTACCTTCCTCTTGAAATTTGTCACTACTGACTACATATTTACCCTCATTAATTTTGCCACAGAATAGATTAAGATGACCTTGTTTTGCTAGTGTGCTTTCACTTATTTTTTTCACTTAAAAAAATATAAAAAGATGTTCAGGATGGTGTGTGTCGGGTTAATATACAGTTTCCATCACAAGAAGAAGATAAATGCACAATGCAATACCTGAGGGATAGCACCATAATTCCAGATATAGCCCTTGTGGGGAAATACATTAGCAACATAACGCAGCTTTCCTTTCTTCACATCTTGTTTAATTGGGTTTAGAGGATCCTTTGTTGCAATCTAAAACAGACAAATGCTGTTACTAGTATTTCATTAATCTAATAAAATACATTACCATTTAGTTACCCTGCCTCCAGATTTTCAAAATCAGAAACCTCAAAAATCTGAATCTAATCTGAAAACCTAGCTGTTTATGCAGGGGTGCTGAGAACCCATTACCTCTTATTAAAGTCAACAGAAGCTGTTGGGTTCAGTACCTTTGAAAGTCTGACAACACAGACTAGAGTCAAAATATGCCTAGAGTCGTGGTCACCAAATGGTCGATTGCAATTGACTGCTTGATCGCGAGGCCTCGACCAGTCGCTCACGAGGCGTCCTGTCTGCCCTGCCCCCATTTTCCTCCCACCCCCGAGAAGCCCCACTACTTACCTCAAGGGGTGAGTCAGCCTCGCGTAGGGGGTAGTGTTTGGCCCCGGGGCAGGTGTGCGCGCGGGACTTCCCTGCTCGGTTCAGGTCTGTGACGTGCCGGGCGTGCTGCGGGAGGGGGCATCGGCCCCGGAGGAGAGGACTCTCTGCTCCCACTGACACCCTGTTCCCTGCCCTCCCGGCACCCTGTTCCCTCTCCCCTGCCCCCAGCCGCAGAACTCTGTCCCCACTGGCACCCTGTCCCCTCTGACGCACCCACTAGTATTATACACTATAAAGCTTGTTACCCATGTTCTACATTTAGGTGTTAACTTCGATTTTTTCTGCTTGTGCCAGCCCACAAATGTACTATATTAGACTACTACCTTCCCTTCAAAAAAGCCATATAGAAATCAGCATTTAAGAACCAGCCAGATCTTCAAATAATTATCTTTCACTTACCTCCATCTTTGCATTTGTCCATCGAGGCACTTCCACAACCATGTTGAATACATTCTGAAACAAGCAAGTAGTAAATCAGCAAAAATCTGAAATGAGAAGTACATCCCCATATTCTAAAGCAAACACAAACTAATAAAAATAATAATAAGTTATTTAAAATTCTATAACATTTTGTTGTGTCTGACAAGTGAGATAATTTTGTTACCTCTTGGTAACAGACTGGGCAGTGGGACCTTAAACGTCAACAGTAAAGTGTTCAACATTCAGACTAAAGTAACTACTCCATGTAAGCCTAGTACTACGGGGTTTTTTTTAAGCCACAGAAAGTTGGTGTAACAGGTATCTTTTCAGCTACATAACTTATAATACTAGTAGGTCCTTATATACCAGTTTTCAATTAAGTTTGTATTATTTTTATTAAACCTATAGCAAGAATTCAAATGTGAGTTTCTAGTGAGAAACAAAATGGAAGCCAAAAAGAAAAGCATAAGCACATCTATGACACTAATGTTTCATTTACAGGATGAACATGATTAATACATTTCTAAGGAAAAAATGTTTTTGATAGGCATTCAACATTGCAGTAATACAAATTCTACCCTGATTAAACAAAAGAACCAGAGATCCTGGAAGGATTGTGACCATTGTCCCCCTCTCTGTAAAGATGGCCCATCTATAGCTATGGCACATTTAACATAGTAGGTGCAAGGAGTGTCAGGAACACAGGAGAGCCTCCAAGTAATAAATAATGTTCATTCCTGGTGTGCTCATAATTCTGAACAAAATGTTACTCTCCCCCTATAGCAGTGGTCCCCAACCATTTGGGGTTGCCGGGCGCCAGGGGGCGTGGCCGTTCGGCCGCCGGGCGCCCGGGGCCAGCGCTCTCCCCTCAAGCGCCGCGCGCCCGGCGCTGGCGCTCACTCTCTCCAAGTGCTGCACACCCTGGCGCACCCTGCAAGCGCCGCGTGCCTGGGGCTAACGCTGGCTCACCCCTCCCCC